TCAAAATCCAATGAGTGGTTCTTTAGATATCAGTGGAACAGTCATAGAACAGGTAAAAATTAGCTAATTATCATGCAAATTAGGTAATTAACGAGCATGGATTTTTACCAAAACCTAATCAAATCTGCGCATTGGCTTAGAGCATCTATGCACCAAGTTTCATCAAAAACCGATGTATGGTTCTTGAGATAGCAGTGGAACAGTCGGACACACATACACACATACACACACACACACACACACACACACACACACACACACACACTGACACACTAACTGCAAAGACTCCCATTATGTGCTTCGCACATGGGAGTCAAAAACACTCACTATGAGACAAAAAAATTCAAATTAACCAAATTTTAAAAACTTCCCTTGAAAATAAATATGCTAAATGCTAAATTTAAAACAGAATACATCTTTGAGTCTTATTTGAATGAACTTGACACTTATAAGAGAAAAATGTTAACAGAATTTAGAATTAGTAACCATAACTTAGCAATAGAGAAACCTATAAACAAAAGAATACACAATAACTGTGACACAAATATACAATTCACATATATACTCTCAAGCAAAGATCCCAGCATAATTAAAGAATTTGCTAATTATATTTACATAACATTTATTTATCATTCAAATACTAGTTCCATACTTTTTATAATAATTTTACATATATCTTGTTATTATTTTAAAACTCTTTTTTGCTGTACTTATCCTATGTAAATCTTTTCACACAGAGGCAATAAAGTTATTATTAAAATAATAGATCAAATACGGTACATGAGTGCATTTACTGTAAAATGCAATTTTGTAAATTAATTTGATTCAATACAACCACTGTAAACATAAGGTTACGATATAGATATTTTTGCTGAATTAGCTATTACATCCTCAATTAGCAAAGTCTGGGTTACTCAAATTTGTTGAAATATTATACTTGAAAACCTTTTACAATACTGAGATATTATTCTCAGCCTTCTGCTTGTCATCTTGAGTCACATTTAAGAACAAAATGCATGTGTACTTTGAACTTACTGAGGTTGACGTGTCTTTCAATGCACTGTACTGTCAAAATGTGTACAATAGTTTAGGTGATCAAAACTTTGGTTAAATCAAATGTACGTGTATTAACTCGAATGAAACATATTTAAAAATGGAGTTGTAAAATAGACAAATTAATTTACAGAAAAAAACAACTTATCATTATAATAAAAACTCACTTTGACGATTGATCAAGGCAATGTGCATGTGTAACACTGGTTGCAATCTGAGGTTACACTACCGGTGAAAATTTGTCACTTTGTTGCGCAACGTAATAAAATGCGGGGGGGGGGGGGCAACAGTTCTGCAGCCGGGGTCATTATTAATGTCGTGATAAACTGTCAATTGATTGTTTATATCGATTAACATGCGTGAAGCATGTGATTGTTGCAATTCACACATAATGAATTTTGTCGAAACGTGTGAAGCCCACAGAAAGTAAAGAAACTGCTTCATACCACAGTCCGAGAGGGACGTGTTCATACGTTCGATACGTGTGTATTGTCCAAGTGTCATGTGACTTGAGTATTTTGTGGAAACATTATTAGTATGCTAACTTACCATGTTTAAATGATGTTGAATGCGTTGTTGACAACAAAAACTGAATGAAAACAAACAAAAACAAATGATTCTGGCAAAAATTCGGAAACAGCTGACATAGTTGCAAAAAGAGACGCCATTTTGAATATTTGTGTTGGCAAAGATTGGACACAACCATTTATGCCAAGGGATGTGAAAAGCCACCACTGAACACTTGATGATAGTGAACAAATGTAAAAGTTTTTTAATCTAACTTTTTGTTTACATATTGTTCTAATTAGTTTGCAGTTGCTGTAATTGTGGATTTAGCTTCTAAAGCTTGTTCTGCAATAGTATATATCCCGCAGAAACTAAAACCAGACGGATTACGCAAATTTCCTACACAGGACGAAACACGCGCGGATTTAGGCTCCCTCAGCCCGCAAAAAAAAAATTGACAAATGAATTCAAACCCGGACCACCGGAGGTGCGCGGACGTGGCTGGACAGTATTGAAAAGGTTGGGTGAAAAGTCGAAAAACACATACAAATTGTGAAGGTGACATGAAACAAGAAAAAGGTTGTGTGGACAGTCAGAAAATAGGTAGCAAAGTGAAAGAATTATACGGTGGCCCATGTGTACAATCGGTCCACTATTATTATTCGCTACTTGAATGGTCCACTACTTGAAAATGTGCCTACTACTTGAAAACAAATCGAACCGCTATTTGAAAATCTGTCCGGCACTTGAAAAATCGAGCCCAACGGCGCAGGTTTATCAGTGACCTTCGACCTGCAGACATGCCGATATCACCCAGAAATACAGCATAGTACATACACCATGCACGATTTGTGTGTGTGTGTGGGGTTATATTTTCCGAGGTGACTGGTAATGCAAAGCTAACACCCGTTTGTTAAATAAAGGAAACCAACGTGTCTGCTTGAAACATCGTGTGCCACAGCTTTAAACAGAAACATTATTTTGTATGATTTTTGTATTTGTATTGTATTTATTTATTTACACCAGAAAAAGAAAATATACATAACACAATTAATTTTTCCTTTTTACCACTGCAAAGGATTCTGGTGTGGGTCATGGAAATAGCTCATTTGAGCTAGTCGAGTCCTAGACCCGGAATAAGAAATAATACTGTACTGACGTGCGGA